AACCCCTAACCCCTAAACCCTAAACCCTAATTGTTTCCCAAGATACATACGATTCGCGACAGGCCATGGTCCACGGCTCCAGAGTCAGAGTCCTCATCCACCGGATCGCCCACCTGTAACTCTCGGTTCAAGGTTTAGGGTTCAGGGTTCAGGGTTTAGGGTTTAGGGTTTAGGGTTTAGGGTTTAGGCTTTAGGGTTTTTAGGGTTTTAGGGTTTTAGGGCTGTAGGGTTTTAGGGTTTAGGGTTACTATGAGTTGGCTATAAGCTTTAGCAGCCGTCACCCCGTCATTGGCCCAAACCCTAAACCCAGCCCTAAACACCACTAGAATCCCTCAATCCCCCTAGGACCCCCCCTCAACCCCATAAGACTGTACGTAAGTGATTACCCTAAACCCTAAACCCTAAACCCTAAACCATTAGACTAGAGCCCCAGGCACATCCTCTTGAGATGTGAAGCGGCTCTCACTCGCAGCTACCAGGGCCTTCAATCTCCTGTTCCAGGCACCCGAACGGTTTAGGGTTTAGGCTTTGAGGGTTTAGGGTTTCGGGTTCAGGGTTCAGGGTTCGGGGTTTAGGCTTGGAGGGTTTAGGGTTTCGGGTTTCGGGTTCAGGGTTTATGGTTTAGGCTTGAAGGTTTCGGGTTCAGGGTTTAGGAATCTCCTGTTCCAGGCATCCGAACGGTTTAAGGCCCGTTTAGGGTTTACGGTTTAGGTTTTAGGGGTTTAGGGTTTCGGGTTCAGGGTTTAGGAATCTCCTGTTCCAGGCATCCGAATCATCTTCAACTTCAGGACCCGCGCCCAGGCTTGTGCTTCTCTGGGTCGCCGTCGTCTGGCACGTCGTATAGTATCCGCATACTGCCAACCTTGCGGACTAAACGAAGCGTAAAATAAGATGCAGATTACGATGAATACCCTCACTAAAGTATAGTCTGGAGTGTATGAACCATACCATACGCAGTTTGAGTCGTAGCCGCCAAGGAACAAATCTGAAAAGCTCTCCGACTTGTCTGCCCCCGCCCCGCTGCGCTCAAACCGTGTAGCATCCGTTTGGGATGCCACTTCCCGCACAGCTGGCGGAGTAGAGGTACTCCAACAGCCCTTACTGCCAAAACGGCCACGAAGGAGGACAACAACGAGAAAGATGACGTTCGCCGAAACTGCCACAATCAACCAGAATCCGGACACGGAGAAGCCGGAGGCGAGTATGTCTCTTGACTGTCCATCTGCCCCTGCGCCTGGGAGGGGTGAAACTCGGGTGGTGGTTGAGGTCGCAGTGACAAGTGTCGTCGAGGTTGTGGTCAAAGACGTCCGTGTCACACCAATCGAGGTAGCTGAGGTGCTGGTTGCAACCGCAATGATGATTTCCGTGGTGGTGGAGGTTGCGCTGGTCGTGTCTCCTGTGCTGGAAGTTGAAGTAATAGTTTTGCTGGCTGTCGACGTTGCTGTTATCGATGTCCAGGGCATCGTGGTTGAAGATGCTCCAGAAATTGTCATCGTTGAGCTGTCCGATGTTGATGTACTCACGGAGCTACTGCTGCTCGTTGAACTCTCCGAGTCCGTGATCGAGATGCTTGAGGTTGACGAGATGGACGACATCGTGGTGGAAGTTGGGGTGGTCGAAGTGTCTGAGGTTGTGCTGGAAGACGTGGAGGAGCTGAATGTTGTTGTGCCTGAAGTTGAAGTCGTAGCCGACGTGGTGGACGATTTCGTCGTGGACGTTGAAGTGGTTGAAGTGCTGGTAGAAATGCTCGAAGATGTAGAGGCGCTGACCGTGGTTGTGGTAGAAGCTGAAACGGAAGTGAATGTGGTGGATGTTGTTGTAGTGAAAGTGGAGGTTGCTGAAGATGTGCTAGACGATTTGGAGATGCTCCATGTCGTGGTGCTGGAAGTTGAAATGGAAGTGGATGTGGTGGACGCTGTTGTAGTCAAAGTGAAGGTTGTTGAAGATGTGCTGGACGATTTGGAAGTGGTCAGTGTTGTCGTGCTGGAAGTTGACGTGGCAGCTGTGCGGGTGGTGGACGTTGATGTAGTCAAGGTCCGGCTCGTGGACGTTGTCGTCGTTGTCGGCACTGGTCCATTCTGCAAGGTTTCCTCGTCTAGGCACACCGGGATGGAGCGAATGTTCCGCAAAGACATGCTAGCTCCCAGCACCCCTCCACCAGTCTCGTCGTATGACGCCAAGAAGAACTGCATGTAGTAGCTGCCCGCACTTGACACTTGCAGCTGACCAAAGGTCCAGTCAAGTGTTCCCGCTGCACTTCCGCCTCGATTCCAATCATGGGTCAACAGGTTTCCGAACTGATCAAAGGCTCCAACAAAAACCTCGTAGGCATCCGAACTACCTGCAGTTTGGAACTCCCATATGACACAGCTGCCCGCCGCCAGCGTCTGCTGGTTTGTTTGCACCATGGGCCCTACGCAGCTCTTGTACGCTGTGCATGATGGGCAGGAGCTGCATGTGCTGAATGGGGATGACACTGATGCTGAGAAGTACATATCGACAACTCCATCCACATCAACTTGAATGGTTGAACTTGATATGGACCTGCATCGATACGTGCTCATATGCGTACAGTCTTGCGTCACACCACAGGAGGCCATGATCTCCACACAGAGATCTTGAATGTTTTGCTGATATGCGAACTCGTTTCCGGATAGCTGTTGCACTTCAAGACCGAAGTTCCTTACTGGTTTTAGGGTTGAGTAGGGTTTAGGGGTTTAGGGTTTAGGGTTTGGGGTCAAGGTAGGGAATTCAGGAATTAGGTAATGTAAGGGCCTTCATAATTAGGAAAGGGTTTTGGGGTATTTTCTACTATAACTATATTAAGGAACCCCCACAATAGCATAGGAAATTATTTAGGCCCTATATTAGGGACTGGATTTGTCCCTGCTAGAGCAAGTCAGGTGCGTAGCCCTTGTCGCAATCCACAGTGGCAGCAAGGCAGCAGGTAGGCGCGGCATGGCGAATCGGAGGCAAGCTTGCCATCCGGGTGAACCGTGAGCAAACACCTGGGATTGCCCCAACTTCTGGACACCAAGCTCCGAAACCCTGAACCCTAAATCCCGAACCCTGAACCCCTAAACCTTAAACCCCGAACCCCTAAGCCCTGAACCCTAAACCGTAAACCTTGAACCCTATTCCTTACATCCGCGGTGATCCTGAGCCAATCAAAGCTACCTTAGTCCTGGGGTCTGATTCCAGGCGTTGTTCTGTCTCCAAGGGTTTAGGGTTTAGGGCAGTTTAGGGTTTCGGATTTAGGGTTTAGGGCAGTTTGGAGTTTCAGGCACTTTAGGGTTTCGGGTTTAGGGCAGTTTAGGGTCTAGGGTTTCGGGTTTAGGGCAAGGTGTCCCGGAACGGCTTTATATTGGATATCACCCCACTCAGCAATAGTTGAACCATATTTACAATACAGATATACACAGCCCTCAATAGTCCTCTTATATGGGCAGTTCTCTAAATTAGGGTCCCTTTCAGGGTACCTTTTATAATGTTGCCGTACTATTTTGGGTTAATCTCGAGAACTACTGATATAGCACACGTTTAGAAACCCCTATAGATCCCTTTAAGCAACCCTAAAACGCCTTGGTGACCATATACTGCTGTTGTATGGTATATGGGGTCAGTACCCAAGCTTTATGGACCGAAACTTGGAGGCCCTGGGTCGACCGTGTCGGGCTTAGGGTTTAGGTCGAGGGTTCTTATATCAGCGCCCTCTCTGCGCTGGTTCTTATGTCCCCCACCTCAAGCCAAATTTGCAGCATGACGCCAAAGATCGGTCTGGGCTTCAGGGTGTAGGGCTTTGAGCTCGCAAAGTATGGATCTCTATAATTTGTCATGGTTTTGGGCGCCGATAGGTTTCTTAGCAGTTTTAAGCGAAGGTTTATGAAGGAAAGTGTTGAGAAGGTTTCTGCTTTTGCACCTTGCCTTCCATGCTGGGGGTCCGGGGGGCTGGGCTGGGGTGGGTGTGGGGCTGGGCTTGGGCTGCAAGGATTTGGGTGCTGATGATTTCTTGAGCGAAAATGGGCCGGGCTGGGCTGGGCTGGGCGGGCTGGGCTGAACTTTAACCCCAAAGCTTGCAGCTCAACCCTGACTCCCAGTCTATGGTCCTGCACCCTAAACCTTGCTAGGGTGCCAATGCTTCCCTCTTGGGTCATCTGTTTCCTTAACCCAGAATCCTGGCCATAGAGTGGAGACGTTTGGAGATAGGCTCTCTCCGGCTATCTTGCAGAGTTTCCCACATGAAACTACAAGTTTTTGCCCTCACTAGATTATGAAACAAAATCACATTAAGAATACCTGCAATAACCCCTTGAGTTAAACTCGGAAATAAGTACTTAGGGGAACCCTTGTATAAAGCAACAAAAACACGACTTGTCGGACATGTGCAGTATACTTGAGGCCATAGGCAGCGTGTGAATTTGCACAACCTACATAGTAATGCCTATACAACCATTGTAAGCGCGTAGCCCTCAATCTCAAACCCCAAACCATCCCAAACCCGAAACCGCCAACAGAGACATGCCATTGCAGACTGGGGCAGAGAGAGGTGTGGCGTACCTCTGAACATGCACACCCGGATGCCCGCTCCCGAAAGCTAGTAGAGAGGACTTGGTGTCCTAGCGCTTCGGGCCCGGATAGCTTTTAGGGTAGATGAAGCAATCCATCTCTTTGGCCACGTTCGCTCAAGCAGTTGCAGTCAAACCTCTGGTCCAGCTCGCATGCTTTAGTGTAAAAAGAAGTCCTCCTGGTACAGTCTCTGTCCAGAGGATAACAGGTCCAGATATGTCCAGATGCTCCAGGGGCAGAACCAAGTGGTACAAGTGGAGGATGGCTGAGTCAGACAGCAAGCTGTCGCCGCAGTACCGGAAGAATTTTGTGTCAGCTTCTCATCTTGCGCTTGCTGCCTCTCCAGGCCTACTGTCCGTTTTCAGAGGGCCTGCTGCCTCTCCAGGCTCTGCCTCAGGGTTAGGGTTTAGGGTTTAGGGTTTAGGGTTTAGGGTTTAGGGTTTTCTCACCTCGTCCTCTTCATCTTCTTCGTCTCCTTCTTCCTCTTCCTCGTCCTCTTCTTCTTCTTCTTCTTCTTCGTCCTCTTCCTCTTCCTCGTCCTCCTCTTCCTCCGCTTCTGCTCTTCTTGCTTCCTGAGCCATCATACGTATTTCAACCCTCTCAGCATTGAGTACTTGCGTTCTGGGCCTTATGACTCCACATCCCCAAGCCCCAAAACCCTGAACCCCAACCGTGTCTCGGAAGCACGGGGAAAAGGTTTCACGGTTTAGGTTTTTATGGTTTAGCATTTAGGGACCTACCCTACGCCCTAAATCCTTTCTGCCCTAAACCTTTGCTGATTGAAGGTTTCCGCGCGATCGGAGGTTTCGCGCGAGCGAAAGAGTCAAGGACTACCGGCATCGGAATGAGAACTTGGAAGGACAACGGTGTGGACTCGTGTGGACCAGGACAGCACACTGTAGATGCTCAACATGCCATGTTTCTAATACAGCTACAAACTTACAGAAAACCAGCGAAGTCCCCTAAACCCGAAACCCTGAACCCCTAAACCCCTAAACTCTAAAGCCAAAACCCTAAACCAATAAACCCCTAATCCCTAGACCCCTAAACCCTAAACCACTCTAAACCCCTAAACCCCTAAACCCGAAACCGATAATCATGACAGCAGCAGGCACACAGGGACCCGGGCTTCCGGATTTTGGCATTCCAGAGAACAGGTTCGGAGATATTAATGTAGGCTTCTGTAGGGACCTTAATAATTAGAATAGGGTTCCTTCAAAGGGTTCCTTTAAAGGGGTCCTTAAAGGGTTCTATAAGGGATCGATGATAATGGGTTCTATAATAGGGGCCTTAATTATTTGGAATAGGGTTTTGGGGCCCCTTATACTTAACAAGGCACCCCCCACAATAGTATAGGTAATTATTTAGGCCCCTACATTACCCTTTTTTAGGCTTCCTTAAAGGGACCCACAAGAGTCTCTATGGGTTTCTATAAGGGTACTAGATGGGCAGTTCTCCAAATTAGGGTCACTTTTAGCATGTTCGGACCCTACCCCGCCCAGGTACCTACTTTTTAGGGTACTAGAGCCCCTAGGGCCCTATGTAGTAGGTACCTGGGGGGTCAGGGTTATTTATGGTTATTTTGAATACGGATTTCGGCTGCCGCGACTTACCGGAAGGGATATTAATGTTATGGTTCGCGGACTGCGGAATACGCATCTTCTGCTGCAGTGTCTTGGCTGACTTACTGTAAACCCCAGGAAACAGCCAGAGATGGGGCCTAAACCCGAAACTAAGCCGTGACCTTAATGAAGAACTGAATACGAACATGTCGGTCCTCAAACCCTACATGCTATAGTCCCTCAAACGCATCCAGATCTTAGCTTGAACGGCTAGGGGTTTAGGGTTTAGGGTCTGGCAGTCTGCGAGCTGCTGGTGGGTTGTGGTCGTCCATCTGCCGCAAAAGCTTTTCGGCGAGCTCCTGACGTGGATTTTGCCGGGGATTGATGAGCCTGATTAAACCCTCCCCAAACCCAACCCTAAGCCTATAAACCCGAAACCTAAACCTGCAACCCTGAACCCTCAACCCTGAGCTAGCTTCGGGACCGGCGAAAATTTTGGGCCTTACTTGGAGGATCACGGGACTTAGGAACGTAAAAAGGTTCCTTGAAGGGCTCTCGAAGGGATCTATGAGGTTTAGGGTTCGAAGGATCATGGGACTTAGCAAGTAAGGTGGTAAGTACCTGAATTAGGGCTATAAGCATTTATACGTATAGCTGCCTTGTTTATAGCCCTAGTTACTACGTCCCATGCTCCTGTAAGTAGCTGCAGGCATCCATTGTCTTAAGCCCTGATTCTGGGGTTTACGAGAGTTTAGGGTCTGCATCTCGATTTTGAACCCTCAGTTTCCTGAAGGACCCCAAAAAATCGGAAAGCCCCAAGCCCCAACAAACCGAAAAAATGAACCCCAATCCGAATAACCCTAAACCCTAAACCCAAAAAATTAGCCTGGGTGTGAAGATCATCTTCGTCCATCTGGCTGAGAAGCCGGCGCGCTTCTTCCTTCCGGTGCAGTTCGGTCAAGTTTCGGCATGAATCCTCTACCTTAATGGGTTTAGGGTTTAGGGTTTCAACCCTACCAAAACCTACTTTTTTTTGTAGGGTCCATATAAATTCCATATTAGGGTTGAGAATCGGAACCTAGAAAAAAGTAGGGTTTGGTAGTTTAAGGTATGGCTTTCGGAGTATTGACCCAAAGCCCCCTAGGCCCTAAACCCTAAGCCCCCCCAAAACTCTCCAATTCTGAGGCCCCTAAACCCTAAAGGTTTAGGGTTTGGGGTTTAGGATTTAAGGTTAAACCCAAACACTAAACTCTTATGAAGCCCCTAGAAACCCTAAACTCTGAACCCTGAAAGCCCCTGCACCCAAAGCCCTTCAAGCCTTCTGCTCTCCCTGTACCCTATAAAACCTACCATTTTCTCAGGCTCCTAATTACGACTTTCTTGTATAAGTCCTTCAAAAAGGCAACCCTAAAACAGCCCTAGGATGTACAAGGCCTGAAGCTACGCCCTGGCTTTCTCTTAGGTAGCTCTCTGAGTTAGGGTCCTCTTTGTAAGGGTGTTGTGCTTTTTTGGGGAGTTCAGAAGGGACCCAAGTTCAGAGAACTACCTTCTTGAAACTTTATCTGGGTTTGGGGATTTGGGCTTTTGATGTTTTGGGGGTTTGGGGTGGGGTGTGGGCTTAGGGTCTTAAATCCTTTCCTCGTCGCCTGTCGCACAATTACCGCACTGACAGGATCATGGGACTTAGTACCTATAGGCTTCCTTAAAGGGTTCCTTTAATTTAACTGGGTTACTTTAAGAATTCTATGGCGGTGTTAGGCCAATCAAGGCGCAGCACACTTCGGAATGCTGTTACTGTAGAAGTTTCTGCAAGGGGACTGCGTGATACAAACTACTGGCACCCGGGCCGACTTAGAAACACTAGACCCCCCACATACCTAAACTCCAAACCCCAAACCTTTGGACGCCTCAAACCTCTAAGCCCCAAGCCCTACATCCCAAAAACCTCGCACCCCTCAAAACCCAAAGGATCCTAAATGCATGGGTAGCTCTCTAAATTTAAGGTCCGAACCATAGTACGGCACCCTTCTAAAAAAGACCCTGAAAGGGAGCCTACTTAAAGGATCATGGGACTTAGTAAGTAGGGTTATAATTAAGATAACTGTACTTATAAGCCCAATTAAGGGACTTATAACCTTACTTACTAAGTCCCATGATCCTCCAAGTAATTTTTACAGAACTACCCGAATGCCTTCCTCAGAAGCTCGGGTCCTTAAATTCTGAAATCCTAAACCCTTACTTGGAGGGTCATGGAACTTAGTTAGTGAGGGTAAAAGTACGTCAAATTTGGGTGATAATATAAGTACTTAGAATAGGAATACTTACTTTACGTATGATTTATGATTTATGACCTTAGTTACTAAGTCACCCAGGCCTGTACCGCTGCGGGCCCCGGCGTGGCGTCGGCCTTCTGCCGACGCTGCCTGGAGTTGAGCACTGCGGCCATCCTCGGATTAGGGTTTACTATAAGGGTTTGTCAAAAGGGGACATCTACATGTATCTTCAGATATTTGCAGACCCCGCAGTAGAAAGGTGGTTGAAAGCTTGGGGTTTGGATGGATTACCCTAAACCCTCAAACCTGAGGCTTAAAGTCTTTCGGCTTCGGGCTTCAGGCGTGGACCTGGAAGGCTAGAGGTTTCATATAGGGGCCTGAAAAATTACGTATACTTTTTTTTTTTGTTTTTTGGCGGGGGGGTTGCTTATATAATATGTTTGTAGTATAATATACCGGGCGTTTCTTATTATGTTTGTGGTATAATATACCGGGGGTTTCTTATGTTATGTTTGTCTAGTATAATATACCGGGGGTTTCTTATTATGTTTGTATAGTATAATATACCCCAAAACCCCAGTCCAGTTATTGAGGCCCCTACATTATAGCCTCTGCGGTTTGGGCTTTGGTGTGTAGTCTCCAGGCGTGTGTCTGTGCGCTTGCGCTTAAGAAGAAGATATAGATTCATAATTTAGGGTTTAGGGTTTAGGGTTTAGGGTTTAGGGTGTTGGCGTTGGCGGACAGGGTTTGGGGTTTATGAGTGAAGTCTGAACCTTCGCACGGAGCGTTTAGATTTGAGTTACCACAAAACGAAATTCATGGTAATATCGGGGCCTAAACAATTGCTAGCCTATATTATTGTGGGGGTTCCTTATATTATCATCGTAGTATAGTATACCCCCAAACCCTAGTGAAAATTATTAAGGCCCCTACATTAACTAGTCCTGAGCTGGCCTGTGGACAGTCCGATGCGTTCAAGTCGCATGTTCTCGCCGGCCGACCCACCTGCAGGAGACTCAAGAGCCGTAAAAAAGGAACTTGATGAAGAAACCCTGGGTCTTTATTAGGGTTTAGGGTTTAGGGTTTAGGGTTCTTAACATGAGCCCTAATAGATTTGGCGTTATAGGGCCCGGGTTTCTTATAGTAGAAGCCAGAAAGTTGGAACATCACTATCCTCATGCCCGTAAGTTAAAGTAAAGGGAATCCTAGCACTAATCCTCCTAAGCCCATGTTCCAACTTTGTGGGATTCGCTATAATCAAGTTCCTACGTTAGAACTGCAAGGCAACGAAGAGCAGCACGAGCTGAGACGGTCCGGACTGCCGGTCCAATAACCGAGGAAGCAAATCCGTGGCGAGGCCTTTCCCCTACAGCCCAAACCCATAAAGATACAAGGGTTTAGGGTTTAGGGTTGCCCCTCAAGTCCAGACTTGATAATAACTGAGTTGGCCCAGTGATTAGGTTCCAGGGCATAACCTCAAAACCCTAAAGACCACAAATTGCATGAGTGGCAGCCTCAGTAGAAGCGGCTTAACGATCACCAGCTTATTTTTGACAAGTGTATCAACTGTACCTAACCCTTTTTCACCCTGAGCTACGGTTTAGGGTTTACGGGCACTGATGGGCTGAGGTTTTCGTTGAAGCGCAGTCTGTTTCAACTCGGAAGAGCCACAGCGTGGGCTCTGTGGGCCTGCAGCGAAGGAAAAAGTCTAAGACGTCGCCTTAATTAAACACAAAGACTCACTCACCATTTGGGGATGAGGGATTAGGGTCTAGGTTTTGGTACTGTATGATATCTCTGTTCATTTAGAAGGATGTCCACAAGCTCTTCTGCTCGCAGATGTGTCTGCTCTTTACAAAGAGATGTCTGCAAGATTCTGACTGCTGAATTCCACCCCCCTGCATCCTTCTCGCCCCGATGGTGCAGCAAATCCTGACTACCCTGAATTCAAGCCCTCCCGCAAATCCCAAGCCCTTAAGCCCGCAAACCCCTCAATCCTTATCAACCACGTCAAAGCCCAATCAAGACATGTACAGCTACTCAAACAAGGAGCTACTTAAAGGATCATGGGACTTAGTAAGTGGGGTTACATCTCAGGTAACTATACTTATAACCCCAATTAGGGGACTTCTAACCCTAAACCCTAAACCCTCAACCCCTAGACCCTAACCCTTACTTACTACGTCCCATGATCCTCCAAGTACTCATCGCTACGAGGCCGCAGACTGCCCAGGCTCTCACCATACGCAGAAGGCTTCTCCTTCCTCGGGGGCTCTGGCTTCTCCTGGCAACGGGTTTAGGGTTTAGGGTTTAGAGTTTAAATAACCCTGAACCCTAAATCCTGAAAACCTAAACGTGGCGACGAATCTCTGATCGGTGGCGAGAGGATTGGGAAAGCTAGGATTTGGGGTTCTTTTTTGGGGTTCAGGGTTTAGGGTGCAGGGCCGGGGATGTACGATGAGAAACAAGCGAAAGTTGGGGGTTGACTCGGTTGATCGGGCCCAGTTTGTATCAGCGGCACGTCTTTGAGCTTCTGTGTCAGGAATGAATGCCCAGTATTCGCCGGCATGCATGAACCGGAACCCTTCAGAACCAACTCCGTAGTCTCATTTCCGAGGGTTGGTACAGACACTACCACTAGGAGATAGGATTAGGGAGAATCTTGAGGATATAGACCCTCTCCATGAGGTCTTTTTTTAAGAGAGCCACAAGCAGGGTTAAGAAGGGTCCCCTTGAAGGGATCCCTAAACCCTAAACCCCTAAACCCTAAACCCAAAACCCTAAACCCTAATACTACCTAGAAACCACAAACTCACAGCCACGGAGCTGCCTCTTCCACGCGCCGGTGCAAAACACGCAAGACAACACAAGGAGCCGACCGCCAAACCCTGACAAAGTGACACACACACACACGCAGACATTTATATATATATATATGCATATATATATAAACATATTTGCATATATATATATATACACATATATAAACGTATACACACATGATCAAACAAACACCAGTTGATTAACCCGCATGGCAAAGATATGGCGAAAGCCGAACCCTGAAGCCGGGGCCAGCCTTTACACATCGTTAGCGTTACACCGGGTTTAGGGTTTAGGGTTTAGAGAAACCCTAACTCTAAACCTTATAATCCCTAAACACTAACTCTAACCCTTATAAACCCTGAACTCTAACTCTAAACCCGAAACCCTATTAACCCTAAACCCTAAGCCCCAACTTTACACCACAAGCCCTTTAAACCCTATAAGCCCTATACCCTGGGCCTCTACCAGGCCGTAGCTCTCCAGCTGCCTTCGCGTGTTGCGCGCGAGCCGCCTTCGCTGGGCTCGTCCTAAGAAGCCCTGGCTTCGCCTAGAAAAGAGGGGGTCCCTTTAAAGGGCACTATAGGGTACTATAATGGGATCCCCTTTGAAGGGTACCCAGCTGCCTTAGCTTCATCTAGAAAAGCCGACATCCCAAATCAGCAAGAGCCCACGCCAATCTCCAACGCCCTGCACATTTTCCGAACCCCAGAACCCTCAACAAGACACTGAAACCGATCAGCAAAACCAAGGCAAAACTACAGCGCCGTGAACCCTAAACCCTAAACCCCAATACCGGAATCCGGCAAAAAACCTCCGAGACCTTCAGACGCCGAGCGAAACACAGAGAGGCCAAACAAGGGTCACTGTGCGGGGTTTAGGGTTTAGGGTTTAGGGTTTAGGGTTTAGGGGATACTCTAACCTCAACAAGGGGACAAGCCCTGCATGAACCAGTAGAGCACCGTCAAACACCAACAAAAAACCTATGGTGTCGGCCTTCGGGTACTGTAACGCAGTGTTTCAGATTATAAACTGAGATTTCGGGTTCATTGATCCCCAACGAAATCCAGGTCGGGGGGCCATCGCTCAAAGCCGACCAAAGCCACGGTGGCCACGGCCAACAGAAGCTGAAACTGAACCTTGAGGTTTAGGGCTTTAGGCTTTGGGGGTTTGGGGCTTTGGGTTCCTGCCAGAGTTCCTTGAGTATTTAGGGGCGGAAGTCCTAAACCATCCTAAACCCTTGACCCGAAACCCCTGACCCATATCCTTGACCCCCTTATAAGCCGTACTGCCGCTAAAGTGGTTTGGGGTTTAAGCGTTTTAGGGGTCTAGGGTTTAGGGTTTAGGACCGTTTAGGAGTTTAGGGTTTATGAACCCTGAATGAATGCTGAGCCCCTTCAAGCCTAAAGCCCAAATTCCCGCTCAACCCCCTGAGTCCTACATCACATGCCATACCCCTTTAAGCCCTGAGCTAGTTCAAGACCCCAAGCCCACAATGGCTTGCATCCTAAACCGCTGTAAACTCTGAAGCCTTGAATATCCAAACATACATTAACCCAAGATCCGACTAAACCGCTGTAGGACTTGAAGGTTTAGGGTTTAGGGCTCAGGGGTTTTAGGGTCGAAGCCTCAATCCTATAGTCCTAGACCCCGTAATGACTCCAAAAACCCCAGCGCCCCCTGGAGACGCTACGTCCAACATCTGTTTCGCTCGAAAATCAAAATCTAAACCCGAAACCCCCACACCGTGAACTCTAAAGCCCCAAACCCTAAATATCGGCATAGCCCTTATAGGAACTCTTATAGAAGCCTCTACGGAAGGCTTGGGTCCTGCCCAGTCGCTATACCTCTGAAGCCACAGGACTCGAGCACTTCATCGAGATTGGCCTGCAGGTAGTTCCTGGTGACAGATCTGCGGTTTGGAGTGTAGAGCGCCTTTAAAGGGATCCACAAGAGCGACCTTTAAGAGTGTACGGTGTAGGGTCCCGTTAAGAGTGTGGAGCGTAGGGTTCCTTTCTTCAAGGGATCTACAAGGCCTGCCTCTCTCTCTCTGAGGGTTTAGGGCGTACTTGGAGGATCATGGGACTTAGTAAGTATGGTTATAAGTCCCTTAATTGGGGTTATAAGTAAATATAAGTATAGCTACCTTAGTTATAACCCTACTTACTAACTCCCACGATCCTCTAAGTAGGGTTCCTTTAAGGGTTTGGGTGTTTAGGGTTCCTTCACAGTGGTCTATCAGGGCTACTATAAGGGATCTAAACATGGCACAAGGATCTATAAGGGCTACTGCAAGGGATCTCAAATGGGTGAGAGTTCCGGAGTTCAGGGTTTACCCGACTACGAAAACCCACCTTTTCAAGGGCTACTTATTATCCCAAAGGCTCCAAATAGACTACCATTATGTAATTAGGTCCCAAAAGAACCATCCTTATTATGGATTTACGGTCCTATATGATACCATAGTAGTAGTATATATGGAGCCTCTAGGTATGGTTTCCTTAGGTTTCGAGTTTTTGGGTGCTAGGGCTGCAGGGGTATGGAAGTTAGTAGTTTCCGAGTTCCGGGTTGCGGAGTGTGGTCCAGGATTTTGGTGTGCAGGGGTTTAGGAGTTAGGGTTTAGGAGGTTTTAGGGCTTTCAAGGCTCAGTAGATTTTAAGGCTTGCAAGTTTCAGGAGATTTTGGGGCTTTCAAAATTTAGGATGTGAGGTTTAGGGTTCGAAGCACACCCCAAACTGAAAGACGACTGGCACGCCGGCTCTATACACTAAAGTTACACTAAACGCTGAGCTACTTCCTGCCCTGCCGGCTCGGTGAGCCCAAAAATGCAACCCAGGGGCCTTGATAGTTAGAATAGGGTTTAGGGGTATCATGATGCGGTATAACGGTAATAAGGATCCCTAAGCAAGAATATTGGTAATTATTGAGGCTTCTGTCTTCAATGGGAGCCCGTTGCACCTTGAGTAAGAAATATATAATAAGAATAGGGGCCTGAACAATTAGAATGGGGCTTTGAAGCGTCGGGACTTCAGAAGAATACTCTTAGACATTATTCCGACCCAAAATCTTACGCCTGGAGTGCGAAAGAAGATCGAAAACCACCGACAGGGCTTCTTGGTCTGGCGTAAGGAAGAAGCAACCTTAAGACCCGCGCACGGCTGCTCCAAAATGCCACTGACGGTTTATGGTTTAGGGTTCCGAAACAAACTGTAGTAGGAGCCATCAAATTGGAAACCCAATAGCCTCAATCCTTAAGAGAATGTACAGGGAACCCCAGCACAAATCACTAATTGTCCTTAATTCGGTTTCCAACTTTTAGGGGTTTGCTAGAAGAGCTGTTCGGCGACAGATATATGATTATTACAGTAGCTCGCCTTTGCATTCCGACAGGAAATCTCGCCAAAGCAACAATTACAGCCTCCCGTGCGTTAAAAACCTTGCAAAAACTATGAAAAATGACCGCACTCAAAACCAAACTAAAGCCCTTCACCAACACTGAAAAAAACCCTAACAAACCCCTATAGTCCCTATCAAAACCCCGGTCGAAACCCCCTCCCTAAACCCTAGGCCCTAAACCCTAAACCCTAAACCCCCAAAGCCCTAAACCCCTAAACCCCAAACCCTAAACCCCTAAACCCTAAACCCCTAAACCCCTGAGACCTAAACCCCTAAACCCCTGAGGCCTAAACCCCTAAACCCCAAAGGCCTTTTACAGTCCTTGGAAGCCGAGAGGCTCGAAGAATCCCCACTGCGCCCCGGCTGGGAGGTCCAGACCCAACCAGGAGCTCAAGGACATGGCGTTAGGGTTTCGGGCTTAGGGGTTTAGGGTTTAGGATTTAGGAGTTTAGAGTTTAGGGTTTAGGGTGGCCGAATAATTACCTATACTTATAGTACAATATACCCTAAACCCCTATTCTAAATATTAAGGCCCCTACATTACGAGCCTTGCTAATTCGAACAAGGTTCCTTTAAAATCTAAGGGCTTCTGACAGGCTTCTATCCAGGGGTTCTACAAGGCTGACGCAAGGCTGCAGTATAAAGGCCGTCAACATTAGAACAGGGGTTTGGAGGGTATTCTATAGTATGAATTCAAAATAAAAGGGAACCTTAAGGAAGAGTATTGGTAAGTATTCAGGCTTCTGTAGTAGGGCCGAGCATTGGAATAGTATCTGATGTTTAAGCTGTATGGTTTGGGGTGTAGGGATTAGGGTTTATTTTGTAGGGCCTAGAGAGTAGGGATTAGCAATAAAAGTTCGTATTCGGACTGAGTTTGACGAAGCAATAATTAAACCAATTGAGGGTTGACCCATGAACTTCAGCTGTCTGAAAACAGCTCGGGCAGAGGCTCCAGGTGCTCGAGTGCAAGACTGTATTTAGGGTTTACGGTTTCGGGTTTCGGGTTTAGGGTTTAGGGTTTAAAGGGACCCCTAGCTTTGGCGTCTGGCCATAGCTATGCAGATGCGGAGGTCACCATGCTGCCAATGCTGTAGGTCGAAGAAGGTTTGGGATTAGGCTTAGGCTAGGACGATTCAGTACTACTAGTAGTGTGTGGCCGGCAGCTGGCTACTGCTTTTTTACTGGCTCGTGCCTAAGCCCCAAACCCGAAACCCGACACGCTGAGCCCCAAACTAAACCGAAGCGGAACGTATTGTCAGTGAAACCCTAAACCCTAAACCCTAAACCCTAAACCCTAAACTTGTCAAACTGTTCCATTGGGCCCAGCAACAAAATCCCCGCAGGGCAGGGTTCCTTGCGATTCCAGCCTATCCCTGAACCCTAAAACCACAAACCCTAAGCCCGAACCTTAGGCTCGAAGCCCCTAAACCCTAGCCATCATCTTATAAGAATTTATCAGAGAAACAAGAATATATATTCCTATAGTTATTGGAATATATATATATATATCTAATAGATATCTTTTGAATTATAAATATTCGTTGTATAGAATATATTTAAATTTTCGATTATCAGATTTTATCATACATAATATATTTTTAATTGAAAATTCAATTTTCAGAATACTAATATATATATATATATAAACAATATATTATAATCTAAAACGGAACTGAACTATTATAGTATATATATATATATACATACATATATATATATATATATATTGGTTGAAACATTTTATGTCTCAAGAATATCAAATCGAAAATAGTCATTATTAATATCTTAATTCTTTAGAACAGATTAAGAAAA